ATATTATATTATATTATATTATATTATATTATATTATATTATATTATATTATATTATATTATATTATATTATATTATATTATATTACAATAATATAATATTTTCTCCCTGGAACATTATTGTATTGTATTGTATTATATTGTATTATATTATTTTATATTGTATTGTGTTACACTACATTATATTACTATACATTACATTATATTGCATTACAATAATACAATATAATGTAATGTAATATAATATAATATATACATTTTTTTTTAGTTTTATTTTTTTAAATTTTATTTTATTTTATTTTATTTTATTTTATTTTATTTCATTTTATTTCATTTTATTTTATTTTGTTTTATTTTATGCAAGGACACACAGGGATGAAATTTCCCTTTTTTCCCTGAATTTTTTCCCAGGAATATTTTCATTTTTCCCTGTTTTTCCCCCTTTTCTAGGAATTTTTCCCTGGAATTTTTTCCCAGGACTATTTTGATTTTTTCCCAGGTGCGGAACGAGTTCTACAAGGACACGCAGGGGCAAAATTTCCCTTTTTCCCCTGATTTTTTTTCCCTGATTTTTTCCCTTATTTTTTTCTTCCTGGAATAACATTGTATTGTATTGTATTATATTATATTGTATTATATTACATTACATTCTATTAAATTATATTATATTACTATACATTACATTACATTGCAATAATATAATATAATATAATGTAATGTAATGTAATATAACATATACATATTTTATTTTATTTTATTTTATTTTATTTTATTTTATTTTATTTTATTTTATTTTATTCAAGGACATGCAGAGGCTAAATTTTCCTTTTTCCCCTGAATTTTTCCCTGGAATTTTTTCCCATGAATATTTTTATTTTTCCCTGTTTTTCCCCCTATTTCTGGGAATTTTTCCCTGGAATTTTTTCCTGAAAATTTTTTCCCCTGGAATTTTTTCCCTGGAATTTTTTCCCAGGAATATTTTGCTTTTCCCCAGGTGCGGAACGAGTTCTACAAGGACACGCAGGGGCGAAATTTCCCATTTTTCCCTGGAATTTTTTCCCCTGGAATTTTTTTCCCCTGGAATTTTTTCCCCTGGAATTTTTTCCCAGGACTATTTTGCTTTTCCCCAGGTGCGGAACGAGTTCTACAAGGACACGCAGGGGGGGAATTTTCCTTTTTCCCCTGAATTTTTCCCTGGAATTTTTTCCCAGGAATATTTTGATTTTTCCCTGTTTTTCTCCGGGATTTTTTCCCATGAATATTTTTATTTTTCCCTGTTTTTCCCCGGAATATTTTGATTTTCCCAGGTGCGGAACGAGTTCTACAAGGACACGCAGGGGGTGCTGCTGGTGTACGACGTGGGCTCCAAGGAATCCTTCGAGGCGCTCGACTCGTGGCTG